CCCCAAAACCCCAAAACCCCAAAACCCCAAAACCCCAAAACCCCAAAACCCCATTATAAAAGGTGAGTTGCATAACGTTAAAACATTAAAAATTTAAATTTCGCAACCTAAATGCCTAGAGAGATTATTACATGCCAAGTTGGACAATGTGGAAATCAGAGTAAGTTCTTTACTTTAGAGTGGTTCTAATATTGTTTAGTCGGAATGGAGTTCTGGAAACAACTCTGAATGGAGCATGGCATCAGTCCAGAAGGGATCCTTGAAGAATATGCCATAGATGGAGAGGACAGAAAAGATGTCTTCTTCTACCAGGTAATTTATAGTCTTTAACTGTAAATATAATTTATAGGCTGATGATGATCATTATGTACCCAGAGCTGTACTTATAGATCTAGAACCAGGAGTTATTAAACAGATACAAAACTCTCCTTACTCTAACCTCTATAACCCAGAAAATTTCTTCGTATCCAAGACTATGGATGGAGCTGCCAATAATTGGGCAAAAGGATATTGTGAGGGAGCAAAATATGAAGAAGACATTATTGAAATGATTGATAGAGAGGCAGACGGATCTGATAGTCTGGAAGGTTTTGTACTAACCCACTCAATTGCTGGAGGAACAGGATCGGGCTTTGGATCTTATCTATTGGAAAAACTCAATGACCACTATCCTAAAAAGTTAGTTCAAACTTACTCTGTTTTTCCGAATGACAATGATATTGTAGTTCAGCCTTATAATTGAATTCTCAGTATGAAAAGATTAGTACTCAATGCCGATTGTGTTGTTGTTCTTGATAATACGGCAATAACTAGCATTGCAGTTGATAGATTAAAACTTCTTCACCCAACAATGTCCCAAATAAATTCTATTGTTTCTACAGTTATGGCAGCATCTACAACAACTCTAAGATATCCTGGTTATATGAATAATGATTTAGTTGGTCTAATTGCTAGCTTGGTTCCCACTCCGAGATGTCATTTTCTAATGACAGGATACACTCCTCTATCTTTGACTGACCAAAAAGTAAGCTCCATACGAAAAACAACAGTGTTAGACGTGATGCGCCGTTTACTTCAGACACGAAACATTATGACCTCTGGAGCTATTAAGAAAGGAGCTTATATGTCTATCCTCAACATAATTCAAGGAGATGTTGATCCAACCCAGGTTCACAAATCCTTGCAAAGAATTAGAGAGCGTAAGCTTGCTAATTTTATTCCATGGGGTCCTGCCTCTATTCAGGTTGCCTTATCAAAGAAGTCCCCCTATGTTGAGAGTGATAATAAAGTATCTGGATTGATGCTTGCAAATCACACTGGCATCAGATCAATTTTCCAAGTACTCTATGGACAATACAGACAGTTTCGAAAAAGAGATGCCTTCTTGGGAACTTACAGAGAGACGAAGGTCTTTCAAGACAATCTTGATGAGTTTGATAGCTCAGAAGAAGTTGTCAAGAATCTTATCGACGAATATGCAGCTGCAGAAAAGATGGATTACATTAACCGAGGAAAAGATGATGAAGATATGGATTACGACCCAAGAGCTCCTCCACATTTTAGACCCATGTAAAAAATCGTTCCAAGTTCATAAAAATTCTGATTTTTTTCAACCATTCTTCGAATGAAGGGGTTTTGGGGTTTTGGGGTTTTGGGGTTTTGGGGTTTTGGGG